ACCGTGTGCGAAAACGATTGTGGTCAATGAGCGGTGAAGCACCTCAAACGGCCAGGAAGGTTTTGCTATGCATTTGGTGGGACTGGAAGGGGATTATTTATTATGAGTTGCTTTCATATGGCTAAACGCTAAATTCTGATCTCTACTGTCAACAACTGGACCGTTTGAAGATACCGATTGACCAGAAACGGCCAGAATTGGCCAACAGGAGAGGTGTCGTGTTCCACCAGGACAACGCTAGGCCACACACATCTGCAGTGACTCGCCAGAAACTTCGGGAGCTTGGTTGGGAAGTTTTAATGCATCCGTCATACAGTCCGGACTTGGCACCAAGCGATTATCATCTTTTTCTTGCATTGCAAAATTTCTTTAATGATAAAAAATTGGAATCTAGGGAGGATTGTGAAAATCGACTACTAGAGTTTTTTGCAAATAGAGACCAGGACTTCTATGAGAGAGGCATTTTGAAGTTACCTTTAAAATGGCAAGAAATCATACAACAAAACGGTGCATACTTGATCCATATCGAACAATCCGAAGCATGTTAAATAAAGTCCTGAAGTTCATATAAAAATAATGGATTTCTTTTTCCCCAAACTAATATATAGTGTTGGCCAAAAGTACTCGACAACCCTATAAAACAGGTGGAACTCGAAGAAGTTTCAGCTGGATATTGCTAAGTTAGTAAAATATTTTCGGCGCGCAACGCAAATTTGCTATTAATAGAAGTGCGGAGACTAGTTCATATAAAAACACTGGGGAAAGCGGGCAGAAACCGGGTGATCACTGAGTGCCAGCAAAGAAAACTTATTCGAGACTTTCATAAGAACCGACAAAAAAAATTCTTCTGAACTCGTTGCAGCTCTATCGAAACGTATTGGGAAGCCGACTAATTCTCGAACGGTAAGAAGAAGACTAATAGTAGCTGTAAAGCCAGCGTCTGCTTTCTGAGCCCAACAAAAAGAAGCGCTTAGAATGGATCCGACACCGACATTGTACCGAAGAAGATTGATCCAATGTTGTATGGTCCGACGAATCCAACTTTGGTGTAAATTCTTATATTATTTGTATAGAAAAACACAACAACGACTAGTTGTTGAATTCACTTTTATATGAAGTACAATCGATCTAATATTGAATATTTTTAGATATTTGGAACACCAAGTGTGATGTTTGCCAAAGATACCATCTGGATTATGTAGTGGCGACCGTCAAGCGCGGAGTCTGTATGGCTGCCCATGGGATCGATGAAACGTGCGTTTGCGAAGACCGCTATGCTAGAAATGGTGTTGAAGGCGTCGTTTATGCGCATTTTCATCGACACTAGCTTGGACGAAGCCAGATTCCTGCAATATAATACCCCATAGAAACGACGACATTGTCCTGCTGGATTAGCCGGCGCAGCTTCCAGATCTGAACCCCATCGAGCATCTTTGGCATACATAAGAGCGCAAGGGAGGGGAGCACAACATTATATCAAAGTCAGCATCAAAAAACGCGTTAACGCAACAAATTTGTATACGCAGCATGTGCCCCAAAGGATTGCCGCGGTGATTAAAGCAAACGCTTTATCCCCTTAATGTTAATTCAAATTTTTTTTTTGTTTTTAGTCCACATATGAATATGGATAGCAAAACTAGTTTTACTTTTCATTTCGAATGGGTGCTATATAGCAAATTGTGGGGTGTGTAATACTTTTGCCCCAGGCTGTATATAGTATGGAGGACATGGAGCTTAGCAGGGATGGTGATGACCTTGATCGCCAAAACCGTACCATTGATAAGACTTATCTTAACTAATTAAACATAAATTTATTATTTAGTCTAGAGAAAAGTACTCAAGATTACACTTTATTGCCATATTATGAAACCATACATATGGGGGCATAGATTTCGAAAAATATATCTACATGGTTTAAACTTGTGATTCAGTTCATTTTTAGATCAAACTATTATTATGAACCATATGTTCAAGATAGTTTTATTTATCGTATAAAGGCTTATTTTTCGTATCAAGAATTATATATGGGAGGGAGACTAAAAAATTTCTCCAAGCGATCTAAATTTTTTACATAAATTTTTTTATTTTATTAATCTTTAAAGTTACAAATTTTTTTCATATATGACGTTACGCGGTGTTCGTGTTCGTAAAAATGGTTCGCTCTAATCAATTTTCAATAAACTGCGTTCGTAGGCCTAAACGCCACAGTGTAACAAATATTGTCAAAATATCTCAAAAATTGTATACGTAAGTTGAATATGGACAGACGGATAGATAAGCTTAAATCGATTCAGAAAAATGATTCTGAATAGTTCGGTATAACAAAAATTGAGTCCATCCTAAACGATTCGGGGTGTTACATACATCCGCATAAACTCACATTTCTTTCTGAGATGATTGGATTAACAAACTGTACACCTTGAACTACTATTATGTACGTAATATAGCGTTCAATTACGATCAAACTCCAAACCGATATGTTCTTCGGACTTTTTTCTTTCTCTCTCTATCTCTCTCTCTCTCTCTCTCTCTCTCTCTCTCTCTCTCTCTCTCTCTTCCTCTCTCTCTCTCCTTTTCTCTTTCTCGTTCACTACCATTACCAACGAAAAATCGCGATATTTATGAAGAAATATGCAAGAGAAATTTAAATAGCGTAGATATCTATCAATTTTTGACGATTTTCTATACAGACAGAAAGATTTCATTTTTAGATTATTTGATGATTTATAGAAATTCGAAAGCTTACAAAATGGTTACTTCCCAATTATCATCACCGTCAAATGGAGAAATGTTTAGTTGATATTGCGACGTAACTAAGATCTTAAGTTATAAGAAAATTTTGGAAAAAAAAAAGCAATCAATTTGTTTTTGTGTTATACCTAAATTAGTCTAGTAGTACTAAGAGTTTTCCTAAGAAATACTGAGAAAAATTTAACGAGCGAATGGGGAAAGAATGATTTTAATTTAAATCGTTTGATTTGATAATGAATTCTGTGTCGTTTTTGCAAAGTAATTGAACACATTTGTACATCTCTTTATGGAAGAATGAAAGAAGAGGAAGATTACGTAGATCGATTGATTATTTAAAAGTTCTGCGACATTTGAAAATTTCACTAATGTAATTGAATAGTTTTCAATCTATGTTTTTATGGGAGGAATCATAGAAAGTTTGTTTGTTGGAGCGCATTGCAATGCTTCTGAGATAAGCGTTTTTTTAAACTGAAGAGCTTTATATAATAAATTAAGCTTTTTCTTTTCTTATTTACACAGATTGCATAAATATTTTGATTGCATTTTCTCGGTGTCCTACGTGATAAGTGATCTTGTCAAAAAGTGATGAAAGTCAGTGGTGTTGTGCAACTCATTATAAATATTTGCAAGAGTTGTTCTTGTTACGGCGTCAGAATAAACAATTATGGTGAGTAAGTTGTAAATAATTTCTTATTTTGATAAATAGTAGAAAGCTGTCATAAAAATGGAATTTAAGAATCGCTTTCCCTCTCCCTCTCCCTCTCTCTCTCTCTCTCTGTCTCTCGCTCTCTCTCTCTTTCTCTATGAAACGTGCGATCGGAATTAATTTTTTCATTTAATTACGATTATTGCTTACTGAGTATCCTCCGCGGGGGCCTGCTTCATAGGACTTAATATGGCGATGTGTCATTGAGCGAGATAATACCTTATCATGCTTAGGTGTTTAGTCAATCTCTCTCAGTATTTATTTTCGCAATATATTTACGTGTGTAAGTGGACCTTATTAGTTAATTCAAAATTCTATTCTTTTAGTTGTTTGTTTGTTTCATTTTTTTTTTTTTTTTTTTTTTTTTTGATTTTCTTTTCCTTCAACTCTTCTCATCTTAGGAAATACATACACATACACACAAATATAAATATATGTATATATATACATATATATGTGTACGTATGTATCTATATATGTACGTATGTGAATATTATTGATTAATTGGTTAATTACATATTATTACTGTTTATATAAACTAACCTAGAAATGTTATTAATTTCAATTAAATTTCACTGAATATAATTAATGTATATACGTTTGTAGATATGTATGTGTTCGAACTTGTTTTCGTTTTAATATATTATATGCTCTTTTTTGTTGCTGTTACTGCTTTACTCTTAAGTGGAATGAGAGAAATGTAGTTTGCGCGAAATAAAATATGAAAGAAAAAGAAACAAAAAGAAAAAAAAAAAGAAGAAGACGAGGAACATAACGGAAGCGTGTTATTTGCTAAATTATGGACGTGTTATTTGTGTTATGACCGTTGTGGGTGATGGTCAGATTCCCAAGGTATTGGCCCCCGGCAATTGATACAACGTTGCTGTGGGTACCTCGAGGCTGGGTACCGACAACAAATCGCTTAACGGATATGTAAGAGTAGCCGTGGGCCTTAGGTGAGCTTGCGCTGTAGGAGCTGCAGCTGCGGCGGCAGCAGCTAAAGTGCTTGTAGCACTGGGCGGACGTAATTGAGTGGCAGCTGCTGCAGCCAGTAAACGTTTATAGCCCATCATGGCAGCCGCATCGTATAATGCTGATGCCTGCGAATTGGTGGCTGCAGCAGCTGCTGCGTAATGCAAAAGTGATGGTCCTGTCAGAGAGGTCGGAGCGGCAGCGGTCGCCAATGGTATAATTGTGTGAGTGGGTGCAGCTCCGGCAGCTGCAGCTACTACAGCATTAGCTAAATTTTGTTGTTGTTGTTGTTGTTGTTGTTGCTGCTGATTGGCGGCAGCAGCAGCAGCAGCGGCCGCAGCAGCAGCCGCTGAAAAGTGTGCGGGCAATGGGTATGGAGTGTAACGAATCGATGTTGATGTTGAGGGAGTACCGCCAGTGCCGGTGTTGGAGAAAACACCAGCATGCGGGTGACTGTGATGATGAGGTGTACCGGTGGCAGCGGCAGCCGCTGCGGCTAAACTACTACCGATTACACCAGCACTACCAGCACCGGGATTAGTAGTACTATTGCCCCAAACTACCAACTCACCGTAAGCAGAACGGCCGGCAGCACGAGTTTTAGCCAAATTGGCTGGCAACATCACCTCCTTCGGCTGGGCCTTCTTGCATTCGACCTGTGCAACATAAATAAAAAAAAATTTTCAACAAGAACGTGCCATATATATATGTATATATACTCATAAAATCAGCAAACTTTCCAAGTAATATATATATATATATATATATATATATATAATATTTATATAGGTAGCAGCATAAAGAATGCAAGGTACATACTTACCATTTTATTGTTTATCTCATGGAAATGAATTTCACAAACTTTATCTACCACTTCTTCACTCTGAAATGTAACGAAGCCAAAACCTGCAAAGTTTAAGAAAACAGAGAAATTTATTCGATGCGGTACGAAAAATAAGAGTACGTCATGTGTGCAAAAAGCGCAAAACATTGTAAGCAAAGTTTACATATTTAACTTCAAAAAAACGAATGTCAACCAAATTAATAAATTAATGACTGGCTTTTGTATGACCAATCTAGAACTCTGACTTTAACTTTGCTGCATTCAGTTATGGTCGGTGGCTCTCTCTCTCCGTTTAGTGCGCCTAGTTGATGAATGTTTTTCTTTCATTCCAATTTAAGTTTCTGACTCATTTCGGTGGTTACCTAAATTCGCTCATAATATAATGCTTTGTACATTGCCATGAATGGTTCGGCAACTTTGCAACAGCATGCACCACTAACTGTTGAGGACGATGCCGGTAATAATGATGATGATAATAATGCCTATGATTTGGTAATCGGATGTGTGCATGTCGACTGTGTCTGCTGTTTGGATTTACGGCTCTACAGAAAATGTCCTCAATTCTTTTCTACTCTGTTGTTTTTTTTTCTTTGTCTAAATTGCTAAGTTTATGACTTTAGTTTCGGCTATGAACTTTCAACGACTAGACCACATACTATAATATGAAATTGTTGCCCTGACTGTTGTTACTGCTGTTCTATACTCATAAGCTGAAGCAAAAGGCATAGAAGTTGAATAAAGTTAAACTTTTTCTTGAAACGGAAAAGTTGTTTGTTATTAACTTGTGGAATAGAAGTATAAATGAGTTTATGAATGAAGAGAGGAAAGGAAAGTGATACAGGCAAAAAGAAACATTGAATATGTAACATACAGATAAGGATGAAATCTACTGATAATAATGCTGACAGAAGAATGTCCTGAAGAATCAGTTTAATCTGCCATGCTTTTATTATTATTATTATTATTATTATTACAATTACTATTAAACACTATTGTTTTTACAGAATTGAAAATTCATTTTTAATGAAACCTATCACCGAAAAAAGAGGAAAATCATAAGAGTATAGTATGAACTTTACCAGAAGCGATCACGCAAAAGGACTTTATAAGCAAATATTAAATACGTTACTGGGTTTTAAAAAATAAACAAATCAGTTTAAATGTGTAAAAGTTAGGAATTTCCTAAAATATATAGAAAGACCCAATATAACCTTTAATTTAATGAAACAAACGTTTGACGTTCGTCAATGGTGAAGAACGTCAAACTGTTGTTAAGATTAGTTCTTGACAAATAAAAGAAAATCTGAATCATTTTCATTGTATTCCTTTGACCGTTTGTGTGCCGTTCTTTCCCTCTCACAAATTAATTAACTTAATTAAAATTACTGTGAAATTTCATGCAGTTCCATTTAGGACGGCTCCTTGCCGAATCTTTTGATAATAAAAAGGCGGAAAATTTTGAAACATTTTCATTAATTCCATTTCAGATCGTAAAATGGACATCGATCGAAAAGAATCGATGATATGTTTACCGCGTAACTCATTTGTGATAGATTACGAACATATTCTTGCAATCGTTGCAATGCTATACGATGAAAAATGTAAATCTGGAGATTCATTGTTCATTGGACAAGGAGCATAGGTATCGCAGGTGTACATAGTTTTATTATTGCATAAAGTCAATTACTAGTCAACGCATTATGAAATCTATCGCGTGAATGCTACTGGGATGCATTTTGCGCTGCTTGGCTGTAATTGAATTTGTCGTAACCGTTTTCAATGCTTGTGCCTAGTTTGATGGCGATATCTTTTACAAGAGAAGAGATGAGAGAAGAGGTGACTTTAGATTTTTGACTTGAAAAATGCAAAGAATCTCGCAAGCCTGAACTACCGATCGACATAAGATACTGTGGAGATCTCTTAGCATATTAAATTGTAATCAGGGGAGCCAATGTAGTACGGCGCACAATATTACCTTAACTCAGACCTCGTATGGCTTGTAGTTTGATCGAAACATGTGTTAAGTGTATGGTTATTGGTAATGCTTTCATGATAAAGATTCAGAAAATTGATAAAAATTATTTGCATTTATTCAATTTCGTTAGCAAGCTGATTGTACATAAAAAAAAAAAAAGAAAAAAAAAATGCTTATTTAATTATAAAATTAATATAAGTCTAAATGTGTTTTTGTTGTACTTCGTTTATTTATTTAATTTGTTTTATTATTTGGTTTTCTCGTTATATAATGAATGCATTAATTAAATGTGTTTGTACGTATCTAAAACTGCCCGCTTACGTACGCTACATTTACAATCATTTATACTGGTATATGACAGACGACGGTGGACGATGGACGGTTTCTTATTTTTTGCTGTTGTACTTAAATCATTAAAAAAAAATGTAGCGATAACCAAATTTCCTATATTTTGATTAACAATAGATTATAAAGCGATCGGGCTTAATGTTCGCAAGGCCAAATGTTGTTCTTTTTTCGTTTACAACTATCATGATTCTTTAATTTTGATTTAGAATATGTGCAATTGCAATTACTTTAAGCACGATCGTGCAATTTCAGGCAGACATCACTCAATATAATTCAATGCGTGACTAATAGAATGGTGTCTACGCAAAATACTAAATACTAAGTGCAGGGATATCCATTTTCTGGCGTTTGCTAGTAATCTTTTCTCTTCTAATTAAACATCCCTTGTACATCTAACTTCTATATATACATATATATATATATATCATCGTGCAGACCTATATATGGTATAGATAGGATAATACATTATAATAATATAGTGATTAGTTAAAATATGGTTTTTTCATATGCATAGCACGGTATGCCCGTCTATGAGTAAATTTTTTTTATCGAGAAGCATTGACTTATTTAATTATGTGAAAATAAAGAGATTTTAATTGTTATGCAAATGCATTTGTTTTACTTATAGAAAAAAGTTATACAAACTAAAAAATTAAAACATTTGTATTTTTACTTAAAAAATTAAGTACTGATTTACGTAATTATTCCGTATAACTGTGTGACTACACGCGCAGATACTTGCATGAATATTGAATTTTGCATATACCTAATTATTATTGACCATAAAATGTGCATTTATATAACGCAATGCACCTACTGGGAATGTGTAAATGAACACATGCTAGTGTGTGTGTGCGAGGACCTATATATATGCATATATTCATAAATTGAAAAATTTTTCAAATTAAACGGCAGCAATGAACATGTTAGCATTTCATAGTTTATCTCTTTCAGGCTTTAATATGTAAGTATGTGTGTATACGTTCATTTATAAAATAATCTTTAAATGTCGGTATAAAAAGAACAAATCGACATACATATATTTTATGTATGCTTAACGGATATAATTATAATCCAACAATTTGCCGAAAATAATTTAAGTAAAAAAATATATACATTCTCTCTCTCCTTGTCTTCCTTTTTTTACTTCTTTCACTTTCCTCCACTTCATCTCTTCTCCACAATCTTACTCATTCTCTATATGCAAGATGTGCAGTTAAAGAAATTGATTGTTAAAGTATGCTTATAATATGTGACGGACATAGATAGGGATAGATTTTTACGAACGGACATTCTTATATAGCATACAGCACGCATAGCCAGGCAATTTAAATTGTAAATCAAATAGAGAATTTGCAATTGTCCTGTCCGGTTAATGAAATTAACATTTCATTATAAGTCACTGATTATTGCATTTAATCACATCAAAATTTATGACCACATTTAAGCATATGCATCCGTTTGCGTTTGTATGTAAGTGTTTCTGTAAATGTATGCATACACTTATTAAGAAGTCAAGCTATTAGAGAAATTTTCTGAAAATATTTTACAAACAAGCATAAATCCTATAGCATTCTCTTGGATGTGGACTGCCAGCACAGGGGATTCGTTAGGGCGACAACTAAATAGATATGCTGCTACAGTTGTTACGCTCCTCCAAGCTGGACACAAGGCGAATTTCAACGCATGCTAGATGAACTAGTGGAAGACGCCCGGGAGAAACCGTCCGTACTAATTGCGGGGGATTTCAATGCTTGCGCCTTCGCGTGGGGCTGCGAGAGGACTCAGCTTGCTGGAGGCATTCGCCATGCTGAAAGAATCTCTTCTGAACGATGGGCGGAGAGATACGTTTCGTAAGGCAGGAATGGGCTCGAACATAGACCTCACCTTTGTTAGTGACGGCCTAGTGGCAAGATGCAAGTGGTCGTTGAGCGAGGAGTACACAAAAAGCGATCACCAGGCCATGTTCCTCGACATAACAACCAGAGGGAACGGAGGAAATAGGTGAAACAAAACTACCGAGCCGAGGTGGAGAGATGCACTCTTCGACGAGGATGTCTTTAACATCATTATGGACTCCTACGAGGGTGGTGAGGGTACAGCTAGTGAATTCCAGCAAAACGTAACAAAGTTGGTGGTACAGGCATGCGATGCGGTTATTCCTCGAAGAAAAAATACAGGGAATAGAGGATCTCCGTGCTATTGGTGGACCGCAAAGATAGCGTCCTTAAGAGCGAACTGCTTGAAAGCCAGAAGAAAAGTGCAGCGCTCGAGAGGAAGGGCAAACTTTAATGAACTGCTCACACTCTACAGAGATTTGCGCAGTGACTTAAAGAAAGCCGTAAGGGCTAGCAAAAGGAGAAGCTTTGAGGAAATATGTCAGGATGCTGATATTAACCTGTGGGAAATGGCATATGAAGTCGCCCTAAAGAAGGTCAAAGGACAGAAAACGCTGCAAATCACGTGTCCGCTAGCGTTCCAGTGAATTAGTAGCAACTTTTTTCCCGCAGAGGCCGTTATATGTGTTGGTAAACCTCCACGACAGAGAGGAGGAAGCAATACCAGCAATTACTGCCGACGAGCTTTTAAGCGCTTGCAAACGGATTGGGGACAAAAAACCCCATGGTCCAGACGGAGTCCCAAACAAGGCCTTAAAGGCAGCGATACGAAGGAGGCCAGACGTCTTCATGACGATGCTGCAAAGATGTTTGGAAAAAAGGACATTCCCAGACGTATGGA